TTCCTAAGCAATCATCTAGAATCCACCAGAATGACTACTAGGCTGACTGAATGAAATAACTTCTTCGCCGCAATCAAGGCCATCTACGGCCCCATTTTCAAAGACACCGTTTTTTTGTTCAGCGCTGATGGATCCACCCTACTTACTGAGAAGGCACAGATCTTACAACACTGGGCCGAGCACTTCCACAGCGTACTCAACCGCCCTTCCATCATCTCCGAAGCCTCTGTCGACCGTCTACCTCAGGTGGAAATCAACGCAGATCCTGACCTCCCATCTATTCTCCGGGAAACTATCAAGGCTGTGCAGCAACTTTCCAGTCGGAAAGCGCCCGACTGTGATGCGATTCCTGCGGAGACCTACAAATACGTTGGCCACTAAATCATCTCCCACTTGACTACGCTCTTCCAGGAGATTTGGCGATAAGGCCAAGTCCCTCAGGACTTCAAAGACGCCAAAACTGTCTACCTCCACAAGCGCAAGGGGAATCGCCAAGTCTGTGACAATCATCATGGAATCTCACTGCTGAACATCGCTGACAAAATGTCCGCTTGGACTCTCCTTAACCGTCTCAACAACGACCTCGATCAAGGACTCCTGTCGGAAAGCCAATGTGGTTTTCGCCGTCATCGCGTCACCACGGACATGATTTTCGCTGCGCGCCAACTGCAGGCGAGGGGCCAGAAGATGCGCGCCTACCTGTACACCACTTTTATTAATCTTACGAAAGCGTTCGACTTGCTGAATCGCGCTGAACTTTAGAAAGCCATGAGAAGGTTCGGCTCTCCTGAGCACTTCACTCATATGGTACGCCAGCTCCAAGACGGGATGATGGCGCGCGTCATGGACGACGGAATGGTTTCCGAAGCCTTTGAGGTGATCAATGGAGTGAAGCAGGGCTGTGTCCTCGCGCTTACTTTCTTCAGTCTCCTGTTCTCTGCCATGCTGACGGACGCCTATTGGATGAGCATTCCGGGATCCCCATCAACTACAGAACGGACGGATACCTTCTTAACATTCAACGCATGCAGACCCCCACGAGCGTCTCCGCGACCACCGTTCATAATCTGCTGTTCGCAGACGACTGCGCTCTCAACATCACAACCGGAGAGGACATGCAAAGAAGTATGGATCTCTTCGC